CCATCCATCCATCCATCCATCCATCCATCCATCCATCCATCCATCCATCCATCCATCCATCCATCCATCCATCCATCCATCCACCCACCCACCCACTTCCTCTTTATCCGGGGTGGGGCAGCAGTCTCAGCAGAGATGCCCAGACTTGCAGATCCATGCTCTCCTCCTCCAGCTGCTCTGTGGGACCCTGAGGCCACACCAGGCCAGCTCAGAGTCATTAGCCCCATCTCCACTGCCCTCTGAAAACCGATCAGTGCCAAACTCTGTTCCTAATGACCGTTTACAGGCCACGCTAGCGTGGTTCCTCGCCTCCTAGTGGCGATCTACGGTACTACTGCTCTCTAGAGGGAAACAAGCAAACCAACATGGCGGCGGCTCTATTATTCAGGCAGGAAGGAGTGAAGCTTGCAGTAAAACATTGTCAAATAAGGTCAACTAACTCTGGACCTGGGCCGTTTTTCCTGTGTGTATTTCAGCATCCTGTACTTCAGCCTCCACCGCTATGAGGGGGGGGCCTTCTGGCCTCACCTGCCAGAGTCGGACTGCAGCTTCGTGGGCAGCGGGCGAGCTGAAGGCAGGAACATCAACCTGCCTTGGAACGAGGTGAGTCCTCCTCCAGAAGCAGAACTCCTCCCTGTAACTCAGAAAAAGTTAAAAATCAATCCACTGGATTTTGATTCCAAGTTTGAAGACGTTTCTCTTCCATCCAGGAAACTTTTTATTATTTTAAAATGTCAGAAATAGCGTTTAGTTCCAGGTTTTATCCAGCAGCCCAAATAGAAACCGATAACGGGTCCCCCCCCCTTTGGAATGGGGGTGGAAAGAATGTCCCCTGAGGACCAGAATGTTCAGATTTTGGACAAAGAAGACTAGATTTCCCACCAACTTAAAGTCGTAGCTTCGTCTCCATCAGAGCTGGATCCTTCCGGGCGTCTCTGTTCTGGTCCTGAACAGAAAACAATGGTTCCTGTGTTTGCCGGTTCTGATTCTCCTTCCTGTTTGTGTTTGTTTGTCAGACGGGTCTGAGTGACGCTGATTACATCGCTGCGTTCCAGCAGGTGCTGCTCCCCGTGGCCTCTGAGGTAAACCCCCCCCCCTTTCAGAGCAGGCGCCGGTCTGGCGTCATCCTGCAGTAACCCGCCGTCTGTGTTTGCAGTTTCAGCCTCAGCTGGTTCTGGTCTCAGCCGGATTCGACGCTGCAGCCGGAGACCCGAAGGTAAAGCTACACAGAGCTGGGGTGGCCCCGCCCCCGCCCCGCCCTGCGGGCTGACCGTCTCAGACTCACCGTATGTGTGTGTGTGTGTGTGTGTGTGTGTTCAGGGGGAGATGTGTGTGAGTCCTCAGTGTTTCCACATCCTGACCCACATGTTGATGAGTTTGGCGGAAGGGCGACTCGTCCTGGCTCTAGAGGTAAATCATCCAGACGGTGAATGAAAACATGTCAAACGCTTGAGGCTGAAGCCGTGTTTCTGTGCAGGGGGGGTATAACCTGCAGGCCACAGCAGAGGGGGTAGCAGCCTGTGTCAGGGCTCTGCTGGGCGGAGCCTGTCCTCCTCTGAACCCGCCCACTGCTCCCTCTGACAGGTAAAGCAAACACCAGCAGCACCCAGAGCTCCCAGTTTGTGTCGACTGTTGACTCCTGTCCTCTGTGTCCCAGCGCCCTGCACTCCATCTCCCAGACCGTCTCCGCTCTGTACCCATACTGGGCCTCGCTGCAGGTTCTAGCTGGATCCGTGACCGAGGGGCGTGGCGCCAGAACCGCAGCCAATCACAGTGGCCCAAAGCCAGCCTCCGCGGACACGTCTTTTACCAAGACCACAGGGCTGGTTTACGATGAGAAGATGATGGAGCATGTGAACCTGTGGGACAGGTGAGTCCGCCGCTCGCTGACAGAACATGGCTCCTGATGTTGGCGTGTCGTAATCAACATGTGACCTGTCGCAGACATCACCCAGAACAGCCTCAGAGGACCTTTAAGATCTTCTCTAGACACCAGCAGCTGGGATTGGTTGATCGTTGCCATCGGATACAGGCACGCCTGGCAACAGAGGAGGAGCTGGCCATGTGTCACAGGTGAGAAGGTGGCAGGTGTGTGTCTCCGGACCAACAGCCCCCCAGTGTAACACGGCGCCTGTTTCAGTTCGCAGCACATCCGGCAGATGAAGGCGACGACGGAGATGAAGCCTCGAGACCTTTACAAGCTAGGAGACAACTTCACCTCCATCTTCCTCTGTAACCAGAGCTTCCAGTGCGCCCAGATGGCTGCTGGAAGCTGCTTCAATGCTGTGGACAGCATCCTGACTGGCCAGGTAGGAGGACAGAGAAAAACATGTCTGCCATTTAAAAATGGATCAACCTTAAACCAGCGGATCACCGCCCCTAAAACATCGGAGCTTCACTAGAGGCACCAATGTTGGCAACACCAGAATTGGACTGTAGTGACACACTACTAAAAGCTTAGTCTGTGCTAACAGACTAGAAAAATGATAACAGGCTGCAAACAGACT